CAGAAAAAGATATGATAGGCATAATCGCATTGCACTAATTACCTTTAAAGATGTAATCGTGTTACGCAAAGATATACGGATAACCTTAAGAAGAAAGCCAGGAAGATTGATGATAGTAGTGGATTATACAACACTGATTGAGAATGACATATTGTATAACACAGATAAAAAATGATTCCTCCTTTCTGTAGAACAGTCTCAGAGGATACCAAAGAGAAATGGACACGTTAATATGTGAACAATAAAGGATGTCCATACATTATTGGCACAATGATGACTACACTGAACTATTTTAACTTAATGATGATGTCTCGAGCAATCTCATTCATTTTTTATCGATTGACTATTATCTTTTCTGGTTATAATATTACTTATTGTATAAGAACGAAAATTGTGTTGTAGAAGCAGAATGATATTTACAACGAGTGATCTACGTTCTCTTGTACCAGATAAGCGATTATAACCATACTTTTTTTTTATACATAGAAGAAAAGACTTCTTTTCCGCTTCTAAAGCACTGTTGGTGAGGTGACATAATATGCTAAAAGTCTACTGTGTGCCATCAGTTAACGACAGAAATATTTTGCATTCACAATTCTACTCAAATACTTTTACATAGGCCGTTATGAATGTGTTTTTTTTATTCAATTGAGAATATAGATCAATTTTTATGATATGCGAAGTTGGTAATTGATAAAGATTTGAAAAAAGAAAATAATTATGTATATTCAACTTTAGTGATGGCTTAAGTTCCATATCATGTTACCCGCTGGGATTGTAACATAATATCTATGTTAATAATGATAAAACAACCATTTGTATATAAAACGTTTTTTTTTGTTATTTTCTTCGGTATTTTTTTCATACTATTGTGTATATAATACAAAAAGTTTGTAAAATGAGACAAATGATATTGTCGATGCTGTTGATTCTATCTATTAATCAATGTTTCAGTCAAATAGGTTTTCCAAAACAATTTCAAGCAACATTGAATATAAGTGGATTATATTCATGGCAAACGCCATCTGAAGGTTTTCAACAACTATTGTATGATTATGAAAATTTAAGAGTTCGTATTGATATTCGCGGATGGCGATCGCAACAAAACGAAACTTACATGATTCAATACAAACCCCAAAGTGCTGAAGCATATTCAGTAAGTGGGAAAAAAATCGTTATGAAAAAAAGGAAAGATTAACCATGAAGATTTTTTTTAGCCAGCTTCGCAGGGTTATACAATGTTTATTTTCAATCCTGATTATCCAGAACCGACAAAAGTAAAACGACAAATATTCACGTTTTCCATTTTAAATAAGATTTTGTTTTTAAGAATGATTGTTGGTACAGAACAGATCCAATGGGTGATATAGGTCCATTTCCGACCACTTGGTTCTACAATTCACAAGATCACACTGAAATTCAACCATGGTTTCCATTACCATCGAATCTTATCAATAAGGGTGAAGAATGGATACCAGAAATTCAACTAAATGCAATAGTATGTTTTTCTATTTTGATCGGGACCGATAAGTTTGTGAAATTCTGTGATACATGAAGCCAAAGAAAAAATATCCTATTTCAAAGAACACTTTGAAAAAAATCATTAGATATATTTATTTACTCATTGCAGTATTAATCAATATATTGAAGTACTTACGAACATAAATTCAATCACATCTAACTACGAGTCAATAATGTATAATAAATTTTTTTTCTTATTGCAGAGATATGATTCACCAGAAATATGTGATTTAAAACGATCTGGTATTGGCAAAGTTCCATGTTTGAGTTATTTTGAAACACAAGATAGACCAGTTAAAACCATTCGTGCACGTGCTGCTCACGGTGGTTACGATAGTGATGAGTAAGTGTAAATTTCACATTTCTATTGATCGACTAAATAATTGCATATCTGTATATAGATACATAAGTACCGTTTATTTATTATTTACGCATGGTATTCCATCAGCAGCTGAACATTTGTTTGATTTACCTGATCAATGGCCCTCTTATTGTGGCAATGCAAACACGGGTAAACTATAGTTCTCAATTATCTTATCTAACCTTACTTGTGTTGTTATATTTCGATTGATT